GGTTTAATAGCACACTCTATAACAGACTTAACTTAAGATCTGATGACTATCATAGCGTATTTTATACAAATTAAAAAAAAAAGTTATCACATTAGAGCATTTCAAAGTCGGAAATTTGATTAAAATGCAGGTTTCTTGTATTTGGTTCTTTCTCTCTGTTTAATTCTATATAACTTTATCTTTCTCTCTCTTTAACTTTCATGGCAGATTGTGCGACCGGTGAACGCGTTTCTCATTGTTGATGTACAAAATGATTTTATAAGTGGTTCCTTGGATATAAGTAATTGCAGTGCACAGCAGCAAGGACATGAGGTGAGCCCCGAAGTTGCTGGTAAAAGAAAAAAAAAATAAAAAATTGAAGTTGGCAGCCGCGAGTCGTGAGTTGTGGCCACAGACAGGGCAGCAGCTCAGCTGATAAGGAGCAGGTGGACGGGGCGTGGGCAGATGCGGCAACTGGCAGGTATGCGGCGACGGAAAGACATAAAACGTAACAAGAAATGAAAATGGAGGCAACGAAGCGAAGCGCAGGATGAGCCAAAGTCATTGCCGCCAACGAGGACGACGACGACGACGAAGATGAGGCTCGCTCTGCATGTCAGCCCGGTGCGCCCCTGCAAAAGATATTGTGGCTGTGTCTGTGCCTGTATCTGTATCTGTATCTGTAGCTTTAGCTGTAGCTGTATGCGTGTGCATAGTCGGAAGCGGATATGCTTTACTTAAGTCGCATCCGCGCTGCGACATACGCCGGATGTCATCGTCAGCGGCAGCAGTCGCCGCCGCCATTGCCGAGCAGAGACCCCGAGTCCGTGCACGAGAACATCAGCATCGACATCAGCTCCTGGCATTCCCATCGCTGCCATCTGCCGCAATTGACTGTGCACCCGCTCGACCCGCCTGCCCGGCCAATGCGCCCCTGTCTGTGGTGCACTTGTTGGCCGGGCACTTCACTTGCTTCTCACTCGAACATGAAAATTTGTCAAAATTAATAACACATACTTCCGTTGTCGCTTTATGGACTCAGACTCGCAGACGTGACACTCCTCCCCATCACTCCGACCTGCCTACCACTTGTGTTATCTTTTTGGAATTTATCCAATGACCGCGCGCCTTCCGCTCTCTTGCAGATACTCGAGCCCATTAACAAGCTGCTGGATACGGTGGATTTTGATGCTGTCTTCTACTCGCTCGACTGGCATCCCAGCGATCATGTTTCATTTATTGATAATGTCAAGATGCGACCCATGGACGAATCATCTGCGGTGTGTAAATATTCATAGTTCGAATATTTTAGTAAGGTGAAAGATGGCATTTATTTCATGTTATGCAAGCGCCTTGTTCTGAGTTCCTGACTGATTGACTGATTGATGATCAACTCACGTTAAGAGAAATTGTTACGAGTTCCACTGGCAAATGTAAAAAATAGGTGAAAATTGGTTGTTTACCGATAAATCATGCTCCACGATGTCCGTCCGTCCGTATGTATGAACGCAAGGATATCGCAACCTATAAGAGCTAGAGACTTGTATTTTAGCTGTAACTCCTCCATGCACAGATCAAGTTTGTTCCCGATAATCGATAGCTTACTCCGTTTCCAAACAATCGATAAAAATCGATGTCAACATCCTGTTTTTTGAGCAAATTTGGTAAATAATAAGAGCTAGAGTCACCAAAAGTTATATGTTTACCCGCTACTACCGCATAGCTATAAATTAAGTTAATGACTCAACTTGTATTGCCCACCAATTTAAGCCACAATTTTAATGCAATTGACTTTAGAAAATTTCATTAAGATCGTTTAGGAAACACACAGAAATTATGTGGTTTGACCACCTTCGTGTTTGCGGTAGATAGCGCAAAATCCAAGAATTTCTGTATACATGTACACACGCCCATTTATGCGCGTCTGCTTGGAATTTTATCAACAGCATTGCAACTGTGATTGTTTTCTGTGCTGCAATTAACATTTTTTTTCAATTATTGGTGTCGCTGTTGAGAAGAGACAGTGGCAAGTGGTGCAGTCTGTCGCGAGTTCGCGTCTACAAGGGAAACTATTTTTATACCCTGAATCATTGAAAGTGTGTAAAAAGGGCATAATACATTTGTGCAAATGTATGGAGCAGGCAGAAGGAAGCATCTCCGACCCCATGATGTATATATATTCGTGATCAACATCAACCGCCGAGTTGATTTAGCCATGGCCGTCCCTCCGTCCGTATGTATGAACGCAAGGATCTTAGAAACTAGCAAGTGGTGCGGTATGCCGCTAGTTTGAACCCTACCGAGGGACAATTTTTTTATTTTTTTTTTTTTGGCTGATGTGGCTGTTGAATAGAATCGGCAGCAACCAATGCGGTCTGTTTCGAGTTCAAGGCTGCGCGTAGGGCAGTTTTATTTGGTGTTGAAACAAAAGGGTTCAGGGAGCTCGGGAGCTTCCGAGCAAAAGTTGTATGTGCGATGCGTAAATTTGTATGTGAAGGTACTTAAAAGGTACGTGATTGACCGATTCCAGAAAGATCACTTTACCGAGTGGAAATGGGGCTCACGAGTAGCACAGAAAACCTAATTAAACTATTAGCGAAATGCGCGGGCAAGGTGAAATATAAAATTTCAACAAAAAATATTTGTCTTCAGAAAAAAGTAATCGGAATTATAAATTAAGAAGAAAATACTATCGTATCAAATAATAAAAACTTAAATGAATTTAGTAGACAACTTGTAGAGAAATAATATAATTGTTTCTGACAGTCTGCCAAGTTTATTATAAAATATAAGGTTTCTTTCATAAGAGAGCTTTGCAATTCATTTTCAAATTTCATAGAAAACAAATGAACTCAATTATAAGTAAGATTAAACAAAGTCTGAGTGGTGGCTTTTGATTTACATCATTTTAAATTACTTAGCTTAAAGTTCGCTTTTGAACTATAAAGAACAAAAGTTTTGTGACTATTTTAAGATAAATTCAATTGACTAGAATCTCATGCTGTTATGTTTTGTTTTATCCAATTTCTAATACATTTCCCCTCAAATACTCAAACACAGCTGGATGCCGATTCGGCCAAGGTCTTTGATACGGTCATCTTTGCTGGGCCGCCGCCGATGAAGCAGCGCCTGTGGCCGCGTCATTGTGTGCAGGATTCATGGGGCGCTGAGCTGCACAAGGACTTAAAAGTGGTGGAACATGGCATCAAGGTATACAAGGGCACCAATCCAGGGGTGGACTCCTATTCGGTTTTCTGGGACAATAAGAAACTTTCGGATACCACGCTGAATGCACAGCTTAAAATGAAGGGCGCCACGGATATCTATGTGTGCGGCTTGGCCTACGATGTTTGTGTAGGCGCAACGGCTGTGGATGCTCTATCCGCCGGCTATCGTACCATTTTGATAGATGACTGTTGCCGCGGCACCGATTTCCATGACATTGAGCACACCAAGGAGAAGGTGGTTACCAGCGATGGGGTCATTGTGCACACCAATGCGGTGAGTCAAAGTAGATGATACTAGTTAATTAATTTACTAAATAATCAATTAAATTGCTGTAGGTCAAAGCCATGGCTGAGGGTCGGGATCGTCGCCCCGAGCTAGGCTATAAGCTGGCCATGGAGCTCAAGAGTCCCGACTCGGTACTTTCGCAGCGCAATGGCTTCAGACCCAGTTACTAATTAGCTGCAGCTGGCTAAAGGTTTAAAGACATCACAAATTACACAAGCTAAGCAATCACATGTGGATGAGAAAGCTCCTGGAGTTGAAAAATTACAGCTAGATTATATAGTTAGTTAACCAATAGTGCGTTTTAGACATAGGCAAGGACAAAAAAAGAGAAAAACACCTACCAAGTGCCTTTTAATAAAGTAGTTCAGCCAGCTTTTGCAAAGGTTTTTTAAATTTATTTAAACATTTCTATGGTAATTTGGTAGCGTTTTTAACAGTTTTCTTTTGATGAAGTACTTAATCTAATCTAATATCCATAGTTGACCTACAACTTTGTCTATTGACAGCTTAAGTATTACAAAGTATCGAAACTTTCTTAAATCGCGCAGCACCATGGCAAATGTTGTATATTGCACCTCTTTTAGGAATTACGAAAACTAATCAAATTTATTTATATGATGAACGTTTCCCAGTAAATAAAATGTAGACAACTCTCGTTTAACATAAACCACAAAGACATGATGAGCTTTGTACAATAGGTACAAGAAATAAAAATCAACATTTTAAACAAATTTTGCTACAAAGGTATTTTATTGTAGATTAAATTTTATATTATTATATATATAAAATAATATAAAAAAAAGAGCTCGGTAAGCATATCGACGTATACGATATCAAGTACTGTAATAAATGTCGCATGCAATTTTCAGCTATCCCCTTCTGCATTCATCTTATTCCACATTCAATGGACCCATACATAAATACATATATCGTCCGATATTGTCGTATAGCTCGCCAATTTCATAAGCAAAAAACTTCAAAACAAAGCAAATAAATGTCCTGCCAAACACATATACTCACACATACATACATACGTATACTTCGTGCACAGACTGTTAAGCGTTTTTTTTAGCGACTTGCTGTAAATGCTGGACAAGCGCAGCAACAACGTTGAGAAAAACAACAAGAGAAACAATTCAAGCAACGTTTAAAGAAAGTTTCAACTTTCTGTTTTACACACAGACACCCACTCAACTGCACACACACACAAACACACACATAAAAAAATGTGTCTGTGTTGTCTATTGCTGCCACAGTTTTCTGCTCAATTTTTATTTTTCTGCCCGAGTTTCCCTTTTGCCAAGCGACTACAAACAAAACTTTAAATTTATTAACAGCTGGAGAAAGTAACCGAAGCGTCTGACCAGTGGGCGTGGATGTGGGCGTCGGCGCTTACATCTGCATTGTGGAAAGTTTAAACTGTAAAATGCTATTTTTCGCTTTCTGAATTTTTTTTTTCTATTTGAATACTCCGATTTTTGCGTCAGAAAGAGTATTTAGGCTTTTGTTTTTCAAAAATTTATGTAAAATCTTTTATATTAATGTTGATTACTCTTAAACAAATAAAATATATCTTAGGAGGAAAGAAGTTATTATCTGTGCGCGGATGAATTAATATTTTAATTAAAATAAGTTTATTTAATTTGTTAGGATGTTCTTTAGTCAGTTACTACGGCTTTAGGTTGGGTTTATAGCATTTAAGAAATTAATATATGTATATATATATAACCAGCGGGTATTACCCGGCCATGGCGGTAGCAAGGCTCCCCAATTGAATGGGAACAAAGGTCGTTGAAAAGGAGTTTGCGGCCGATGGGATGGTAAACTAAAAAGTTTCATTTAAACGTTGTTCCCGATTTTTCCACACTTGAGATTTACGAAAATCTGTCCTTCGTAACTACAGTACAAATTTCTTAGGGTTCGGGCAAACAGTTTTATGTGTAGAGTATATACATAATACAACGCATTGGTCAACAGAGTATCTCACAGCACAGGCTGCCAGCTGCAATTGGATTACGTGTATGTTTTTCCCAACAGTCACAACATGGAAAATGTGTGGGTAGGGGCAAACACTCCTACATCTGCGAAGCTATCAACTCTTGTAGCAGACTTCTCAATCCCGGGAGCTGGTTAAGCTTTATGGTAAGTAGTGCAAAGTGGACTCTGCTAGGCTGAGCAACCCATATCTGGCTGCGGTTGCAGTGGCTTTGGGTTCTTATCGAGCTGCTCTCGAAACGTTTACCTTTTCAAGCAGAGACAATGAACTTTTAGCCCGGATGTGGAACTGGACATGGGCCGCACTGCAGCCGAATGCTAAATGCGTTTGCCCAGAGATTTGCGCAGACTGTGTTGTCCGCTTTGGAGTAATGTGGGAGGCTGCGGGAGCTCTAGTTGCGGTCAGGGACTAAGCAAAACGTACATCGTGCCTGTCAGTGGCAGCTGTGGAAAAGCCCGACAAAACGAGAAGAAAAAAGGGAAAAATCGCTGATGAAAATTGCTTGCAAGTGGTTTCTGTTTCTGCCCGCCCGTCCATGTAATGGTCGCTCGTTTTGCTTGTAAAACTTTTGGATTATTGTCAGCCCAACACGCACACCCGCGCTCACACACACACACACACTCACATACAATGTCCTAGCCTGGCCATGTGCCAGCCGGGAAAAACTTTGCCCCGGACACGGACACGGCACATGGCAAGTCGCGTTTGCTACGGCTCTTAACGGCAAATTTTCGCATATTTTTCTCGGCGTAGGCGTCGCCACGTTGTCTCCGGCCTGCAACTGGATTCGACGAACTGCAGTTGGAGTTGCACACACACCCGCCCACATCTATAAAAATAGAGTGTGTGTGTGTGAGTTGTGGCAACAGCTGCTGCTTGCCCGGCGGCTGCTTGACTTGCAGCTTGTAAATGGGCGCTAAGCTCCTTTGTTTGCGGCATGTTGTTGGGGCTGGCATCAGGAAGTGTGGTGGGGGAGGGGCGGGAGGGGAGGCAGAGCTGCGGCAGTTTTGGGAAATGTTTGGATGCACCCTGTGTTGAACTGCCTATGGCAGGTATTACAACTGCTAGCCTTGCCCCGTCGCGTTTGCACTGTAAACGCCGAAGTAAGAAGCTACAAAAGCAATTAGGTGTTAATACAGTCTGATAAGATAATGGCTGCAGTAAAACTGCGAATACAAAAGAGCGAAGGGACTTATAAATAAACAAGAGGTTCTAGTCGGGAGCTCCCGACTAGGGGATACCCTGAACCCTCTTCCAACATCAAATGCATATATATATATTCTATTTTAGAAGCTATATGTCAAGTTTGGTGACTCTAGCTGTTATTATCAAAATTGCCCAAAAAAGAGGATATCGATATCGATTTTTCGATTACTTGGAAACGGAGTAAGTTATCGATTATCGGAAAAAAACTCGATCTGCGCGGGAACTAGGAGCATATCCATCTAATTTCAAGTCTCTAGCTCTTATGGGTTCTGAGATGCTTGCGTTCATACATACGGACGGACGGACGGACAGACAGACAGACGGACATGGCTAGATCGACTCGGCTATTGGTGCTGATCAAGAATATATATACTTTATGGGGTCGGAGATGCTTCCTTCTACCTGTTACATACATTTGGACTTTGCACAAATACAATATACCTTTAAACCCATTTTTAATGTGTTCAGGGTATAAAAAATGAGCAACATTTTGTATTAGCTGTATAGCTGGCCAAGCAAAAGCATTTAGATTACATACATTTTTAGTACTTAAAAAGTTTTTAGTTATTAAAAAGTTTTTTATTATTATTCGCTGATCTTTGCAGTGCGACCTTTTTCCTGTTTTGTGGCTTTACTACTTATAGCTAATTTTTCAGTCCTTGTCAGAATGCCGAAATTATTATACCATCCATTTTGAAGTTCGTAAGCGGTCTAAACTTATTCCCAATCTAATTCACACGCTTTTTCTATTTTCAGACGATCAATATTTTGGTTAATGAAGCAAGGATCAAGGATTCAGAAAGTAAAGCTGCTTCCATTTCCTAGCCAGTTCGTTCGGCAGGTTGCGGCTTTGGATACCAATATAAGGGGTTGTGCTGGTATCCATGGCCACAGTTTTACTTTATTTACCTTTCATACCTTATTTGGGGTTCTCATGTAATGAATGTTTAGATATTTCGTGCATTTAGACGAAAAATATAACACTTTTTCCAGTCCTGTCCATGCGTAAAAATACAATGATTTTCCAGGATCACGAATTGGCTATTTCTCTAGCCTTAAACCAAAGCCGCCTAGGGCTTTATATCTATTTATAATTTTGTATTAAATGCCTGCCAGATCGGAATTATATGTCATATCGAGATCATAGACAATTTTAGGCTAACATCAGGTTTTGGACAGCTTTTTCAAGTTATCTTTGCTTTGGTCAATGCTATTGTCTGTAAGGGTATTTAGTTTTCAGTTTTTGAAAATATAAGTATATACATATATATGTATGAAGACATCTATAAAATACAAGCTTTAAATTTAAAATAGATATTAAATTTTATATTGAGTAAAATTGATTTCAAAATTTATAAAACAACAAAAATATACTGCTTTTTTAGCAAATGAATTCCATTAAACTTCATTCCCTTTCACACTGTGTCTTGAACGTAGCTGACAAATTTATTTATTTTCTTACGAAAATTGCTGTTGACTTTGCAACATTGCAGCGGCAGCTGCAGCTGCCACTTGACAGCTGCAAAAACATCAACAATAAATAAACAAATAACAATTTCGCTGCTGCTGCTGCTGCTGCTGTCGCTGTGGAGCCAACGGGCGTATGAAATTTGTTTTACGTGCGACAAGCTGATTGAAATTATAATTTGAATATTAACAGCGGGCGCATGGGCGTGGCAGCTGCTTAGCAAAACGTTAAAGCAATTTGCAACGGTAAAATTTTCATCGTTGATTAGATCGCTGTCACGGCCAAAAGTTTTTAATTATGTATATATGGTGAATATTTTGCAAAATAATTCAATTTTGTTTGCGGGGTCGTGACTTTAACAAGCTGATGTGGATTGCAGTTGTTGTTGTTGTTGCTGCTGCTTAGCAACAAATATGCACGGGCTTATTTGCGCCACAATAAAAACAAAAAATCTCTAGCGTTACGATGCGGCGTATACGTAATATTCATGCATATATTTTTTTTAGCGTGTTTTGCGTTTGTTGCGGCGGCTGCGGAAATGCAGCAGGAACTTGTCATGCCCCATGCCACAAACAATGCCAGCAACAACTGTATCTGTCTCCCTCTCTCTCTAATTCTCCCCGTCTCTTTCTCATCTCTATTTGCGGGTTTCTCTGTGCCCTGTGTTAATTTTAATGCAGTCAAATGAGTTTGTCCTGGCTGCACGCAAGATATAAAGTTTTGGGCTTGTCGCTGCCACGCCCACATCCTACCAAGCCGCCAACCCGACAGCCCGCTGGGATATGAGCATTTTGTGCAGCAAGTGATTATGAGGTTTTTATATATATCATATGTATGCCATCTAACTACTATTTGATGCGTGCGTGCGTATAAGTGTGTGTCCGAGCGCGTGTGTGAGTGTGTGCGTAGCAATAAAATGCTTTACTGATTTGCAAAGTTTTGTCATTAAGCACACTTGGCGCTTATCCAAGCGCTAGCATGGCATTCTCCAACATTGACGTTGATTATAGTTTAGAATTTCATAAATATTTGCCAAAAACGTTGTGGTTTGGATTGTGTTGTCTCATCTCTGACAGCTCGAATTTGTCAACAAGTTTTATTGCACTTTCAAAAAAACATTAATGGCAATTTCTAAAGCATTCTAAATTTTGTTTATCTACTTATGATCATCAAGCTGATAAAACTGACAATTGAATTATCTCAATTTAAGAGCTTCCACATTCAAAATATAAATTTTTTTCATTTATCATACAAAACTACACGTTTGTTTTTGAAACAAACAGATAATACCGAAGGTCTAGTTACTGATATATTAAATTAAATAAAAATAATAATAAATTTAATTCGTACAATTTTATAATGCTTAAAGTGTTTATGAACAATAGATCAGCTCTTTATGAAATTTAATATAACACAATAATGAAGGCATCAGAACTATAAAGGCTAGTCTTTATTTTAAAAATTTTCTAAATGCTTGCCTAAAGCACCCTAAAAATAAATTAACATGTAAATACAACTTAAGGCTTTCAGATTTTCCATTATATAACATTAGTTAATAAAAAAACAGATAATTATACTGATAATTTTAATATTTAATATTTATAAGTTAGAGTTAAAGCCCTAAAGACAACCAATGCCAATCAAATAAGTTTTTTACTAAATCCTAGAAAACTTCAGCCAAAAAATTATCGCAGTGCATGAAAATTAAAATTCGTGAATTCATGAGAATCAAATAGAAGAGCTCGTGGCGTAATAGAGTGCCCACAAGAAATATGTGCTAAGAGAATAATGCGACTATTGTTGGCTTAATGAAGCAACCAAATATGCTTAAGACGCAGCTGCGCAGGCCCCTAGGATATCATTATTTCATGGCGCTTTGTGCTGCCAGCCACAAGTCCGCCCCTACTCAACCCGCAAACCCCAACCCATCATAAGCCATAAAATGGTGCATAAATAGCGTACAGTATGTGCGTATGTTTGTGTTTCAATCGAGTCCATACTAAGTTTGGTTTACGCCCCCCATAAATAGGCAACAAATCGTACCCGCGGGGCCACATGCGTCGTATACGTGATATTTTTTAATTACATTACAAAATGCTTTTCGCTGTGTGCGCGTGAAAAATGTCGCTTTAATTGCCCCCGCACCACACAGCACAAAACTAACAAAAAGGAAGTGTAATACGCAAAACCGCTGAAAGAAAATGAGAATTTAATTAATGCGAACTCTAACCAAAAGCCAAAGACCCGCAACCAGAACCCAAAGCTACAACTAAGTCGTGCACAAAAACCCAACAAAATAAAGAAAAAAAAAATGTGAAAATTTCAAACGAATATGGCAAATATTTTGTAGTTGCACAAAAGTTTGGCGGGGGTCTCGTACGATTTGCTGACTGCATATGTGTGAGCGTGTGTGTATGAGAGCGTGTGTATGTGCGAGCGTGTGGGTGTATGAGTTTTAAGTGTCGCTGTGGAATCATTAGCCAAAGCACTAAAAGATGTTACCAAGACTCTTTGAGGGTGTGGGAGTGGCCTTAAAAGTTTTTGGCGCTAATCAAAAATAAATATGCAAACGTTAAATGGTATGTAAGGGGAATGTGGCCGATGAGGGGTCAAAGGCCGGAGCAATCACTATTCAATTTAATGTGAAACTACATTTGTGGCGTTTAAGCGAAAATGGAAGGAAATTAGCGACGACTGTGGCAGCTGTCGATCGGGGCGATACACTGAGAGACAAATGAAATGACATTTAAAATGTCAACACGACCGCAAAACATCGTGTGCAAAATGGTCGAAAAAGGTGTTCAATGTGTGTGTGTGCGCTTGTGTGTGTGTGTGTATGTGTGCGTGTGAGCGTATGTGTGTGTTGCCACTACCGAAGCGACTTTTGCGGTTGCACAAAAGCAGAACAAGTCGAGCCGGTTCAAGGGAGGCGAGGTTGAGGTTATGGTCAGGGGTTGAAGCTTAAATGCTTGACCACGAAAAGGCCATTAGAAAATGGCCAATGTGTGCGTGTGTCTGTATGTGCACACGCTTCAACGTTAAGTCGTAAAGGCAGCTACTGCGACAGCTGAAATTAAGCAAAGCAAATAAAACAAAAAAAAAAAAATCCACAGAAACAAAAAATGTTGTCCCAACCTTTTGCCAAATGTAACCGCAAAACGTTTGCCAACACGTGTAAACTTTTTAAAGTTTTACCTGTATGTGTGTGTGTGTGCAACTGTAAGTGAGTGCAAATGTGTGCACATCTGTCACAGGGTTGAACAACTTCTCGGTAACAGTAATTATCGTTTAGCCAAAGAGATTTAGGCACGAATTACTTTTGAAATCTCCTAATCTCATTTATTCATTTTTTTTTTTCAGAGATTTGAAATTAGGATATAAAACATCAACAAAGTTAACCGAGAATAAACTTAAATATTGTCAAATAAATTACTTTTCAGATATGTGAACTTACAGAAAGTTGTTTCCAAAAGGGCAACAATCATGAATTTAATTATAAACTAAGGAGCTCGCAAGGAAATAATCTGTATTTCTCTATTTCCCACTATAAATGAGACATACGACAAAAATTGGACTCTTAATCTCTTGGAGAATAGTTCTCACACCCATCGTCTACATCTCTTACAGCCTCTGAAGCGGGCCCTAAGACAACATTCAACATCAAAAATTCAAATGTCAAGATCTACTTGGTGTTTAATATATATATTTTTTTTTTTGACGTATTGAGCTATTAAAAATAAGTATAATAACAAAAAAAAAAACAAATGATTATTTACAGAATACAAAATTAAAAAAAATTGACTCATCTGGAAATTAAAAAAAGTTTAATTAAGTGGTGAAATTTATTTGATTTTTGCATATATAAGTACTTATATTTTATAAAATAGTAAGCTTTATTTTATTTTGTATCCAATTCATTTTATGCATATAGATACATATCGTTTTAGATTTTTGTATATTTATAAAAATACTTTGAAAATCTGCTTCAAACCAAAAAAATAGTTTGCACTATCATAAAAACTTTAATCAAATAAATTTCATGTTCTTTGAGCAAAAAGCTTCAATAAGCTCACAATGTAAGAGCTTGATTCAAGCAAATATTAGCTGGATTTGTTAAAATATTCTCGCATTTACAGCAACTGTTCGGCAACTGTTTTAATCTAATGGTTTTACAATCATTTTGATTTACACTTTTAAAATGTCTTTCTATCACGAGGCTTGACTTTTTTTCCGTATTTTCAGCTGTTATACTACCTGTTTTTACCTATCTTTAAATAGTTTAAAGCTGACTTTTAAGTGCAGCTTGTAGTGAAAATACAAAATCGAAAAGCAATGTCAGCATGTAAATGCGTTGGCTCACGCCAAAAACAAGATACGCAACGCTGTCCAGCCCTAGCTGTACAGTGTACACAAGCTGCCACAGCTGCAATGTGTGTGTGTGTGTGTGTGTGAGTGTGTGTGTTTGTAATCTTTGTCGCATTGCCGTGAAATGTGCAATAAAGTCGCATGACTTTGGCTTTCGGCTTTGGCGCTGCGTGTTAAAAGTTGGCCGGAGAGCTTAAAAAAAAAACAGCCAAAGCCAAAAAATACGAGCACGAGCCTGCTGATGAGTTTGATCATGATAATCATGATGCAGATGATGATGAGCAAAGAACAACAGCCATGTGCGGCAATTAAATGTCAAACAGGCATTCTTGATGGACGCTTAAAATCAGCGCAACTGTCATCTGTTGCAGGCAGAATCTTGTGCTGCTGCTGCTGCTGCTGCTGCTCCACCATTTGGCCATGTCCAAGCAGCAGGCAGACGTTAGCCATCACGAAACGGTCACACATGCAGGCACACACTCCCACCTACACACACATGTCACCTGGCGTTTAAAATGTACACCCATAAACAAAAGTGCAAACAAAGCCATAAACAAGCAGCAAGCGCAACTTCTGCATCCTTCCAATACCCACGTCCTGCTCGGACACGCTGATGCTGCCGTTGTCGTTTGTTAGTTTTGCCTGCTGCTGTTGCTGTTGCATTGTGGCAGCCAAACATAAAACGCTAACAACAACCAGCAAACAGGCAGCAACATTCAATGGGGTTGACGCTTCATTCCGGTCGCCGGTCGCCTCAGTTTGTTAGCTTTGCTTTGTGTCCTGACTTTTATGCCAAGCGGGGGTTCGGATGCGGTCGGACAGCCTGTCAGCGTTTTTCTGCGCTTTGTTTTTAATACATGTACGTGGCGCATCATTTATTATTTTGCCACAGCAGCAGCATCCACAGCAGCAGCTTCAGTCGAGACGTGTACGCAACATGGCGCATACGCAGCATTGGCCACGGCATTCAGTGTTGGGCATTGACGCCCGGGTCCATGTCACGCACACATTAGGTAGGCTAGCACGCATCTGGCCACGCACACGTTGCATAAACATTTTGGTCGCTTACTAGCTCTCCATGTATGACATGGGCGTGGTCATGCGTGTGTGCCTCGGATTAGGAACTAAATTAAATTTTTACATCAACATTTGCGCTTCATTAGAGGTAAGGGCCGAGGCTCCACAATGCCAAGTGTTGCTTCCAATGTTGAGAGGCCACTCGACTGGTCGCCTTTGGGACACACTTACACACACACAGCCAGCGTGATAAGCAGGCTGTGCAGATAAATGAGTTGAGTGTTATGTTGGGAAATGGCAGGCGGCAGGCGCCAGTAAATTAGCCCTAAATCGAGGTGTTGAGCTCAGCCATTCTCATCTCACAGGCACAGGCATGTAGTTAGTTATACATATATATATATACAATTGTATATATTAAATTTACTTGGAAAAAAAAAACTGTTGAAATAGTTGGACAGCTGGGCAAACAGAGGCATAATTAGATATGCCTGAAGTAGGGTAGTTAAAGCGAATCTCATATGGAATGGGATCTGGAAGGGAGTCATCGCATATTTAAAGCAGGCAGCCAATGTGTGCTCTGAATATTTAAAGCAAATGAGAAATGTATGACTTTCTTTAAGCGTAGGAAGGTAAGGCTACCCCTGTAAAATATTTGTATTAAGCTAATTATATTTAAGATTGTATCTATTGCATTAAATATAAAGGATTACTTTCAATTTGAATTAAAACTTTTTAAACAAAAGATTTCTTTTGCACCGAATTCTCCCTATATAATACCCATCTGATTAAGATAAAGCATTTCGCATCTATCTCAATTCACATTTATTGATTGCCGCCACTTGAAGTCTGTCAAATCTTTAATATACTGCTGCAGTCTAAAGAAACAAGCAGAAAGAAACTTTAACTCAAGCATCAAGTCGGCAATAGTAGACACAGCGGACCAATATGAACTTTTGGCTTTTATTGGACATGTACTACCAATAACTGATAGCTACCATTTGCAGCTGCAGCCATTCAATTTTCGACCAGAAACAAAACCAAAACTAAGAAAAACCGACAACATGAGAGGGAGAAGAAAAGAAGTTCGACAAAAATAAACCGCTGCAACTTTGAAGCAGCGCGCAGAGCAACTGACAGCTGGCACCAACTTATAACTCAGAGGGCATGGAGGGCGGAGTTTGCCCAACTGGAGCTGCTCTGTCTGTGCCCTAAGGACAGTTGCTATACCAAGAAAAAACAAGTAAGAATGCACTATCCGGAAGTACTCGACTACCAGATACCCTAAACCGGGATACAAAGTTTGGGAAAGATTAGAAAATCTCTGTGCGCATGGTATAGAAGAATTGTACGGACCGACTTCTTTTGTTACCCCAGTCAAGAATATACATACATTAGTTCGATTGTCACAAACACATTCACAAAACGATGATACCCTTTATACCCATTTTCAATGGGGTTGGGTAAAAAAAGCACTCAGTGGCAGAGGAACAGCCCAAAAGATACAAAACTTGCAACAACAAAAAAGGAATTAAGTAAAAAATAAGCAGAAAAAAGTTTCAGTTACGTGCTGTTGCTTTTAATTGAATTTTTTTCCCATTGCCTTCGCTGCTGTTTCTGCTAACTGGTCGCTGCGGTGAACCAACGCTCAGGCCAGCACATCCGCATCCGTCTGGCGCTTCCGCCGCGGCAGCAGACATAGACACCAAGAGAGCAGCAGCCGCAGCAGCAGACGTGCACTTGGAGTCGTGTCCAAGTGCCACCACTGACTGGAGGCAGTTTTCTTGTTATTTTGAAAGCGCCAAGTCGCAAGTCCTTAAGCGGTTTATTTTGCTTCACACTGATTTGCAGCTTGAAAAGTGTCCCAATGTTCGGGCATTTTGCTTCACCTCTACCCTGGAGCCATTAAACTTAATGAGAGAGTAAAGGAAAGATGTCGTAAATCCAGCAACTGCTGTTGGGGACAGCAGAAACACGTGCGGCCTGAGCTCAAATGCAAAGCAAGATTACTTTATACTTTATCGATTAGTCGGGTCATTTAATGATATCGATAATGGCGACTTATGTTTGTTTATCATTTTATCATTCATATCATTTTTATTTCTGTGGCCTCTGTAGGCGTTAATGTTGTTTCATCTTAATATCGATTACTGCTCCATTTATGATTAGCGTATTAATCCTGATAACTGATAACTTTAAAAAATATCAAAAGTTTGACAAACAGTAAAAACCATCGATAATAACAGTTAAAAAAGATATCGACTGCCAAAACTATCGAATAAGGCAGGTTTGTCATGGAGCACCACCTCGCTGGCTTTTACAGATCAACGCGTAGTCGAGCATACCCAGCCATAGCGTGCTTGCATGTTTTCCCTTTTTATCAGCTCAAGCTTTTAATTAAGAAATTTCAATTTATCACTGCCCACAGACTGCACTTGCACACCGTCTGCGGAGTATCATAATAATTTTATTTACCCACTCATTTAGTGGCGGGACTTGACTTCGGTTAGTTGGGCTTGTAGGCTTGGCAACGATTTAAATGTCAATGCTTTTTTAAACTTTAGTTTATTCACAATTATTTCAAAAACCTACCGAAAAGCTCCAACTAATGTCAATGGTAGCTCCAAGCCCGGTTACAACTACAACAATGCTGGTAATTTATTTGCTGCTAATCGGTGAATGCTTTACCTGCAGAGCCATTCACAAATCAGGTAATATCATAGAAAAGCCAAAAACACAGACATTTACTTATAATTGGAATCGACATTTGCAGACCTGGAATCGTGCTTCAGGAATGGCGGCAAGTGTCGTGAGTATTATGTCTGCCCAAAAAATAGGCAATCGTTGGTAAAAACGATTTGCATACATAAACATAAAGTTTGCTGTATGAAGAATGCGCAGCAATGATGGAAACTATAAACAAAACTGGAACAGCTGGAGTACAATTTGATCAATCAATATGGAGCGGTGTATATATACTTATAGAATCAGGAGTTACGTTTACGTATATGAGAGATAGAGATAGATGACTGATAGAGCCCGCCTTATTACTAAATCAATGTTGAATGTAATGTGTTACTGAGAAACAATAAAGTGTGGACAGGTTCAATTAAGAAATCCTCTGAAAACACTTGCTCTGCGGAGTTTCTGGTATCGAAGTGGGAGCTCCTATTCGCAATTCCCTAATGATTAATAGTTATACAACACTGCTGGTGAATTAAATTGAAGCTATCCTATAAGTTTTCACTCGCAAAGAAACATTTAAATATAATCAAGAAATTTATTCAATTTTATCCATTGTACTTTACTAAAAATTGTTTTTTTTTTATTTCCGACAACAAAATTGGTATGCGATAAAGTGTATAATTTTTTGAATCAAACCCAAATTTAAAACAAAACTAAAATATAAAGACCCTACTTCAAGCCAAATGTTTTTCCGAGAATTTTAATTGATTGTTGGCGACATAGATTCTTCTTTTCTGTTACAAAATTTTTAATTCTTCAATTTTGTTCCACGACCTACCTGGAATTATCGGCCCTTATTCTATGCACATTTTTTTTTTGTGTATTTTGTAAAAACTACACTAGTTTGTACCACGTTTCCCCTACCGAACTTTCTCTTTCTCTAATTAAATCTTTGCTTTCTACATACCTTCGGGAGCTCATTTCCAGCTATGAGCAGGAGAATAGCTTGCCGGACAGACTACAAATTTCCATACCGGGTTGGTGATTTTTCATCACTATATCTTAATCCTATCTACAAAACACTCTATATCTATCTAAATCTCCTTACTTTATTAAAAACTTCCTTCTTTTTTCCTACTTAATGTATTTTATTAAATAATATAGATAATTAAGGGGATTTTTAATTTTTACTTAAACTATTTTTTCCTTATTTATTTCCCGAAGAAAATAAGCTGTAAAAAAGGGGATTAGTGCCCGGACGGACGAAAAAAACACCTCCATCGGTCGGATATGCTATTAAGCTTTTAGCATTAAGTTTTCATAGTTTGATGTATTGTATAGTTAGGAAGACACTTGTTTTTGTCGACCAATAATAATAAATAACTCTGTAACTCTGTAAAAAAAAATCAGATTTCGATGATGGGGTTCTACGTGGTACTTGGTCTCTTAATTTCATGCCAGATTTCAACATTTTCAGGTCGCAAAATTGTTATCTACCAAATTTTTTAAAATTAATTTAAGGCAATTCAATGATAAATCGATTTTAATTAGATTAAGTTTTGTGAATGCCATGCAAATAAAAGCCTAATTCGTATCAAATGGTCCAACTTGTGCTATAGCTCTCGTTTAGACGCTTAGCATCGTCCCATTTACAGCATTGCACTTGTGTAAGTGAGACTATACGAGTACGAGCGGCATATTGTGGGCCAAATGACGTCACTAAAATCAGGTCAACACCAGGCGCAGGCTGGGCACAGCAGACTGTGTGCGTTTTGAAGGCAGCAAGAACGGCAATTCACACAGTGCTATATTTGTATATATGTACATACATATAGAAACTAAATTATATATATATATATATATATATATATATATATATAGTTTTTATATATTGCTTATATATATGTATATACATATATATATATGTAAGCAATACGCTGTTCGCAGCATGAATGAGAGTGTATGGCTTAAGACAATGTCCGTCTATCCGCGGTCTGTCAATTTATCTCGCTTATATTACGAATCGATATTTAGAAATTTTGTCTTAAAAACCACTCAGGACCATTTCTGCACGTACATTTTACAAATTCCTTTGAAAACTATCAAAAGATTTGAAGCCAAAAACATTTCCCCAGCCAAATGATCAACCTGAATATCACTCCCTTTCAATATCAATTCCTTCGACTTACAGTTTTAGAGTCATGCCTTTAGCTGCTTTTAGCTAAGTGTTATTGCACTATTAACAGAGTATTGCGCAGTTGGTTGCAGCCAATTACAATGTTCCAACGCGCTTCCTTCATTTTTTTGGGTTAAAGCGCAGCCTTGCCCACAGCCTAGGTTCACGCTCTCTCTCTCTCGCGCTCTTGCTCTTTCTTTCTCCGCTCTCACCTTATCTTGGGGGTCTTGGTCATTAATAGTCGACACTTCGTTTTATTTTTCTCTCGACCGCCCGCTGCTCGCTGGTTTCAGTTTTTATATTTCGCTGGTGTTTTTTTTTTTGACATCTTTTCAATTTTTGCTGCGTTGGGTAAATTACTTGTAAATTCAGATTATGCGTCCGCTAGAAAGACTGTGAGGGAGCGAGCACCTAACTAGATTGTTGTGTGTGTGTGAGGAGGAGTGTTGGGAGCGGTCTCTCAAAAGTGACTGGCATTTGTTTTCCATATATTGATTGCTTTTTAATGGATTTTTCGTGGACTCTGCAGCATAAGGTGTCCATTTATAAAGCGCGCACTCACTCTGGCCTCCCAACCACCCCTTTCCCCGTTCCCGCCTTGTCTGCAAAGGTCTTTTCATCATATTTACATAGTTAAATGGTTGAATTGTTTGACTGTTGATTTACTGCTGGAATTTCAGACAGCCAAAATTAATTGTTTGATTTGTGGCCAGCCTCGATGCGGCATAGCTCAGGCGCATTTTGTGCTATATACCATAGGCTAGATCTAGGTCAGCTGCGTGGGTTTGCTCTGCTGATTTACGATTTTATTTGCACAGTTTATAGATGAAAAAAAGAGAGAAGGAAAAAAATGATGACAGACGTGGCGTGGCAGCTGCCACTCATATGAAGTTTTCCCAGAGATTTGCCGCTTTTCTTGCGATATATTTTGTATTTTTTTGAGCTTCTCATGCATGCGTTTTGTAAGTCAGTCAAACGTTTGTTGTATGTCAATCAGGCAGGTAACTGGCTGCAGCTAAAATGTAAGACCCTGTCGCACAACAAAACAATAACAATAGACTTGTGGACACACACCCGCATACACACCGGCGCATAATACTCACCACGCTTATGCTCTTTGGGTGGCAGCAACTCTTTGGCTGCCAGTTAGTTGTTGTAGCTGCCTCTCTCTCTTTCAGCTTTCCGCTGGAGAGCCCTGCCACAGCCTCTCACGCATTGCATAGACATGGCAACAGCCACGACAACGCCAGCTTTCATCTTTTTTATTTTTTTTTTTTTTAGCACACGCGCCTGACTTGATGTCAGCCTCAGCACCGCACCCGCCTGCCGCAGCCTACCCGTTGCGCTGGCCGCCTGTCGACTGTCAAATCAATTTGTCAGAAATCAGTGACAGCTGCTTACAGCCAAAACACACAAACATGGCCCAGGCCGCAGCCGCAGAGCCCGGCTCAAAGCCCATACAGCAGCAGACGTCGTCGCCGTCCCTGCCGCCTGCTTCTGTCACTCCCAGCAGAGTTGTCATGGCAAAAATATAAATAGAAAGAACAAGAAAAACGAAAAAATATGTTGCATACAAAATAGCAATTGGACAACAACAAAAAAATGAGACGAGAAAAAAGTATTGCCTGGAGTGTAAATTATAGCGCATATTTTTTCATTTCTTTTTGCTTTCCCAAATTGCTTTGCAGATTGCCGCCATTTGAAAATTGTCTACGGCATATCAAGCACTTTCGACATTTACAACTCATTTCTGTGAAATCTCTACGCACCAAGCGCTTCTTCTACTTTCTTCCTTTTTTTCAAGTTCGAAGCTGACAGGCAAGCGCCTTTTGTTTGCATGTCCTACCCCCCTCCACACACACGCACGCACACACGCTCCGCTGTGTGCTGCCAGGCGTATACGTAATTTCGCAGACAATAGCAGCCCAAGACGAAACCCCAAATGCAAAAAAAAAGAAAATAATAAGTAAAGGGGAGAGCAAAACATGGAATAAGAAAAGGTTTATGACTGAGCATTTTTGATGCCCTAGCCGGTGTGAGCAACATGCTATTTTTGACAATCTGTTGGGTATCTATAGGGTTAATTATAAACACAATAGGAAACGGCGCTGTTGTGCAAATATTTTGATATCATAGAATAAAAATATATTTCGATACATGTAACTTAGATGTAGCCGAACTTGATCATTGTTAAATCAATTTAAATGCAGAAAAAGAAATGGCTGACATCTCCGGCCAATGAGGAATGGATTAAGGATTTTTAAGCCTTCCTTTTAAAAGCTTAAAAAACACAATAATTAAGCTTCTTAAAGTATTTTTGTATTCATGTCAACACGTGTCGGCTGTATTTAGATAACTTAGTTGGTTCGTTATTTCACAATTAGTCTATTAGTTTTTAATTTCACAATCCACTTGGTTCGTGGGAGCTCGTGCTTCCCTATCCATCCTATCGATAGAGTTATCTTAAATGGGTATTCTATCAAGTATCTATCTATCTATACAGTATGCACAAAAAATGATACATTTACAAACATAACATCGGTGTGATATGATTTACCTAAGCGCTGCAAAGTTTTCCTGCCAAAAGTCAAATAATACGACCTCGAAGTAGGGGCTCCATTTAATGAAATCTTTGCGGGATTTGGTCTTTAAATGTTAAAAACTGTGAAGCAAGTCATATTTAAAATTATAATTTAATGATAGAAGAATGATAAGAAAATGAATTTCTTATTTTAGAAAATCGTTATGAAATTCAATAAATCATCGCGAAATAACACGAATTATTTGGGAAAAACACCAACCTTTTTTGAAAATGTCACATTTTTAACAAATGTGAAAAATGTGTTTTCTTATGGGAAAACGTTAGGAAAAAAAATGAGACATTCCCAAAAAAATGTAAAAAAAATGTTGACAGTTAAACTAGGCTATATCATTGCACTTATTATAATAATAATGCTGTACATATCAAAATTTGTAAAGGATTCCGTTTACGTGGATGAATCTACATATAACTTTCGGTTATGCAAAGGCTTCAATTTAACATTCGACCTTTAACATTCGTTTATGCAGAGGCTTAAATTAAACACCTAATAAAAGGATAATTTTTTGACGAAACCAGCCTGCAGAAACTTTAAGTTAAACAAAAAAAAAAAAAACAAATTAAAAGAAAAACCATTCGATAAGTTTTCATTTCGGATCATTTGTGCTAGTTCCGTTCAGGCAGAAGCACCTATATATTTATTTTATATAGAGCATATATGAGTCGAGCAGACCCTGCATTGTGTTCGTAGGTTTTCTTTGTATATTGGATACGCCAGCAGCAGCAGCAACAACAACAACAGCAGCAACAATGGACAACAACAAAAATCGGTAGAATGTTTGCTGCTGCTGCTTTTTATTTATATTTTTTTGTTTGTAATCTCTACCCCCTTTTTTGTTGTTGTTGTAGATGCTGTTGCTGTTGCTGCGGCGTTTTTTGTTTGACCAACTACCAACATACAAGCTCATAAATAAGTAGGCAAAGGCTTGGGCCCTGTTTTGCTAGTCTACACCCGATCCGTCCGCCTGTTCGCTACACAGCACGAGTTTCGTTTGCCACGCCCAGAGAAGGACGCCTCTTTGCTTATGGCTGCAAAATGAAAAATGGATTTCTGTGTCAGTTGGTTGCCATAATTTCAGTTCGTTTCAGGCTTTGGCTCGGCTCTGGCTCAGAACTTGCTTTGAGGCGCATTCATCATTTGGCATTCGGTTTTGCGCTTCTTCTTTTGCTTTCAACTTTTGCGTTTGTTGTTTTTGTGTTGGGCTATTTGTTTGCCATGTCGCCTTGTTTATTTAATTAATTATTTTAAAGATTTGCCGCCCTTTTTCGCATTTAATTAATTTATCAAAAGTGCAAATACAAATTGTACGCCAAGGGTTCGGTCGAGTGTCCCTTAGCGTGCAGCTTTTCTCTTTGCCTTTTTTTAAATTTTTTATTTTAAATAATATAAACTTAAAATTAGCCGCCGCCGCTCATGCATAAGTGGGGTTAAGCTGCGCGTCGGGTTAGGCCAAGGCCAAAGTTCCGACAGCAAAAAGTTTTTTTATGTTTTCTAATTTTTTGTTCTTTGTTTTTATTTTTTGTTTATATTTGTTGTTGCCGCTGATAGGTCTAATAACTCCCCGGGTTGCTGTAATCCTTTGGGCCCTGCCCCTTGCCCGGCTCCTTGCCTGGCTCCTAGTGCCGGCCTAATGGAGATGGCAAGTCACGTAAATGACGCTGATGTTAATGTTGATGCTGCTGCTGATGATGATGTTTATGCTTGCTACGTGTTCATTTCTGTCACAGCGGCCTCTGACTTTTTTCAAGCCCAAAGCCCCTCTCACTCATTTGCACCCCTCACAAACACGCACACACTCACAAAATTCTTTGGGACCTGTGTGTGTCTGGCCAGCGTCCAGCACTGTGTATGCGTAATATTCAATGAGTAGTTGGCAACAGCACTTGAAACTGTCCGTCTGGTTGCATTAAATATTAATTTGTGCAACGTTTGCAAGCACAGCTCAATTCCCAGTGACAGACCCAGTGGCATGCCTGCCATTTCCCAGCCCTTGGCTTTTGCGTACATACATATGTGGGCTCACATCCGTTCACCGAATTGCCAAAAACGGAAATTAGTTACAAAAGTTATAATTAAATTCCTTCGAGAAACGGACAAACAAGAGCTGCATGTGCCAATTTTCGAGCGTGTGTCCGTGCATATGTATGTGTGTGCAACAAACTGTGCCTGTTTACATGGCTGTGTAGTTGCGTCCGGCGCACCGTCAACGACGTCGCCGACGTCGACGTCCCCGGCGCCATAGACAACACTTGACTGGGCAGGAGGCGAGCGCCCATTTTGAAGAGGCCACACAAACAGGAGCAGGACCCAGAGTCTTAATTAGAAACAATTTGAGGCTGACTGATTGCCGGTGGTAACGCATATGTGTGTGTGTGTGTATGCCAGTGTGTGTGCGAGTATGGGACTCTTCTGAGCAGAAGCTTGTCTGTGTGACTGTATCTGAGTGTGGGCGAGCGTCACGCGCTGCTGACTTTTAGTCATTAGTAGAAACATTTTATGCTTGAAGAAAGCTTTAAAGTCGTACTGCCCCCCTCCCAGCCACTAATACCACAGCGCCCCTCCTTCCTTTCAATTAAGAAATATATGCATATGTTTTTGTTGAAAAATAATTCTATGCACAAAACTGGGGCTGGCAACACACTTGTGCAGATTCTATAATTAGGCAAGCAACTTTATAGGATTGCAATGGTTTGGCACCTCCATTAATATATAATGTTATATGTTAAATATGTTAAGCTTTTCAAAACTCAATAGTTAGTTAGCTTCAATTGTTCGATGATTTTTTAAAAATGAAAATAAAATCAATATTTTTTATGTATTATATTAGGTTTTATTATTAAATCATAATTTTTACTTTTGTTTTATTTCATTTCCATTTTATTTTATATTCCCTTTAATTTTTTTAAAATGTACCCTGGCTTGCCTTTGCTTAAATATAAGAGCGTAATTCATCAATTGTACTGTTTTGTTTTCAAACTATTTTTATAAATTATTAAGAAATTAAAGTATATTTTAAACGGGATAATTTTTCGGCCCTACAATTCATTTTTAAAAATTTAAATTTAGCTAATATTTTTTGTCGATTCTTGCAGCAATCTAGTTAAACCTCCCATCTGCTGTTGCTCCTCTCAGCCACGCCCCAATTTTGTATCCCCCATTTGCACGCATTTGATCTATATGGTTCAACGCCCCATTTCAAGTTGCGTGCGTCGATTATTGTAATTGATTTGCACAATTGAATGGCAGGCGAGGACGCGCATAAATCAAACACAAACACGCACACACATTCAGTCGCACGCACGACACATGTGCATCAATTATTGAAGCCTGTCGTCATTGCTGATGTGCATCCAAAAAAAAAAAAATAGGAGAGCAAAGCATCAAAAAATTATATATACACATACATATGTATGTATACGCTTATGTGCCCCTACCCACATGCCCTTGAGACGATATGTGGGCTGTCACGAACTGAAGTTTTATTGTTTAGCAAATGCTCAAATCGAATGCCTGTCAGACGATTACGGCGTATGATTCCCGTTTCTGCGATTCGCGCATCGTTGCCGATCAATTATGCAAATGTGCACGGCGACATATTCAATAATAAAGTAGCGATGACGATGGCAGAGACGCCAGCGACGACGTCGCACGCATGTCGCAGCATTTATTAAAAGCACTCACATTCTGAGTATTACAATGTGCGTATACGCAATGTGCGTCTGCCGCCCAAAAAAAAAAAGGGCATAAATATAAAAGACAAAAAGTGACAAAGCGTATGTGCAAACACACACACACACAGCGACATACGCTCATATGTGAACATCTGGCTGAATTGCGCAATATGAGCTCAGAGCATATAAAGTTGTAACTGCCGAATTATGCCAGAATGGTCGCCAAAATGAAGTGCGGCCATTGAAACATTGCGTATACGCAGTGTTGACCAAGACGCCATCTATAAAACTTAGGACTGTGACAAATTGAATTAAGACAATTTTCTAGGAGACCAATTAAGAAGTTTTCCAATCAATACGTGTAAATATTTTTTAATGCAACTGGTATAATGTTTATATTAAAATATTAATTGAAAAAGTATTAAATAATAATAATAATAAATAATAATAATAATAAATAATAATAATAATAATAATTTTTAAATACGAAAAATATATATTACAAATATTATTAACCAGATGAAAATGAATAAATATATATGCTCCAATTAAAATTGAAACTACTATCCGATCGAAGGTCTTTGTTCAAATTCATTTGAGGGGTTTTTCGCACTTTTTGGAAAATCCATCACTCCCCGATGGAAATGGGCTTCAATGACTTAGTGGGTGGCATTTCACCTTTGAATTAATTCCATGGATCTACATAAAATCAAAAATTTTTAGGTGAAACGTACAATTCGAAGATATTTGGTTACGTTTAAAGTTGTGTCCGATATGCTTTAAACTTATTTTCAAAGCTCTTCATAAGAACGAATGAAGCGTTTGTATGAAAGTTGATTTGTTACCGTCCGATTTTTAGCAAATTTATATAATGCGTGCCACGGACAAGTCCAGGCTATACCCGCTAGTATTTATAAACATAAAATTGTATTTTAATCTAAAACGAATCTTAAAATAAACCAACGAACCAAAAACTTAAGCTCACACAGCATAAGTTACATGAACGAGATGTCAATCTTGGAGCGGAAATATATACAATTTCTAGGACACAATTGTTAATTAAGAATAGGCTGCGATATAATAAAATATGAATGCGTACACTAAATCCTTTTCTCAACTAACCTTTTTTTACCTAGATTTGAAGTCCCTGCCTCACATGAGCAAGCGTTTAAATATCTGTACAATAATCTCTAACCAAAGTTTAAGTATTGAGCAGTTCAAATATTTTTATTTTTTATTTTAGCAACATTTCAATCGTTGTCGATGACCATTAGAGAACGCGCTTCATTCAATTGCCATTGTATCTTTATCGTGGGTCCATTACTCAGACTCCAAGCTTAAATATCTACTATTTATTTACCTATTCCGCAGTCATTTTGCCGCAATTACCAACGCATCCAATTGTAGTCAAGTGCCCCATCTTCTAGCGCTGCGGCTCTCCCAGGAGTAAAGCGCGTCAATTACTTGGAAGTTTTTGGGCTTATTACCGATGGATAGAAGAAGAATGCCTGCAGCTGCTACAAGTCAAATAAAACATATTACAAATGCCGCACCCGGCCTTCTACCCACTATGGACATTCCCTCCCCGCCTTTGCCTGTATCTGGGCACTATTACTCAGACTTAAGCGCCTCGAGATGTGCCAGCAATCTGACAAATTTCGCACAAATTATGCGACGAACACCACAAAATGATGACGACTATAACGACAAAGGGGAAGAGGCTGGAAAGGGGCATGAGCAGGACCACAACCAGGACGATCTGGTCGGGCTGCCCGTCCTGTGCCGTACAACAAAAGGCGACGAAATTATTATTGCATTAAGTGGAATTATTAAATTTCATCGGCATCGCAGGCAGCCGCAAACGGAAGCATAACGACGGCTCAGCACAAATAAAAATAAATAAATCTAATCAAAAATAAGCACACAAATAAAATCCACAAATGATAAAAATAAAAAATTCGAAGAGGGCAGGCAAAATAAATCAATAAAAAGAGACAATGACACAGAAATGCGGCAACAGCAACGGGTCGCATCCAGAGTCCGGACGCCGAAACCCCGAAAGGTTCCAGTTTCAGTGGCCCGTTTCAGTTACAGTCTGGGGCGCAAAGTTTTTGGCGGGCCACTCAAATCAACATAAAGTTTGATATATTGTGCCGCATTGGCAGCGGCGGCCATGTCCTGCGTTGATTTAATGGCCGGCAGCCCTAAGGCTAAACCCGCGGCAGGGTGACAGGGCGGCGATAGGGGGGATGTGTAGAAATTTTTGCTGCTACCACTACTTATTACGGCCGCCGCCTGTCGCCATTGTTGTCAATTTGGTCGTGTCTTTGACAGCGGCTGCTCACCCGGTGACCGGTGTAGGGGGTAGTTGAAGAGGGGTTAAAAGAGGGGCGCGGATAGAGGGGTGGGGGTTGTCAGTTTGCCCTGTGGCCTGTGGCATTCAGATTGTAGTCGCATCATCATCTTTATGGCTATTGTGATTTCGGAATTAATTGCTGCCGCTGCGACACACAATCGGCGCCCGCTAGGTGGCGCCACAGTGCTTAAAAGGATTTGTACACATTGGGGCGTCACACCCTTTAACCCTCCCATCCTTCGCTCACTTGCCTTGTGCTGCTGCAACAGTTCTGACCGGCTGTGTGTGTGGGCGTCTTCTTTGGTTACATGATTGCCCTCAAAAGTATGCAATGCTAATAAATTCATTTTTATGTGTTAAGAAAAACCTCCCCCGCATTGCGCTCAATTTTCACCAACTGCTTTGGGGATTTTTGCTATCTTCGTCTCCTCTTTTATGACAGATCATTAAAATTTCTTCTACCCCCCAAATTTTTTTTTTTCTGACATTTAAGTAGCCTGTTTGTCTTATATTTATGGCGCCCGATTCGTGGGCTCGAGCTGTTGCTCTCTCTCTGTGTGTGTGTGTGTGTCAAAGGGTGCATTAATATTGAACTTTATTGTCTTTGTGGGTCAGTGTCAGTTTCAGTTCCAGTTCTTTGTTCAGTTCGCCGCAGCTGAAGTGTTAATAGCCTATGTGGCCCCACAGTACTTAGTGGGGTTAAAGAAATTTGCTTGGGTTAGCTACATTAATTTGAATACACAACGCAGGGGCGGGTGTGCTTTTAGGCCGATTATGGGTTAGCGCTTGACGGCAATTGCGATGTACATATTTGATACAGTTTTATATTTTGGGGTTGATAACAATGGCATACAGCGATGATAAAGGTAAAAATTATCAACACAGTTTGTCTACTTTAGGACTTATGCTTATCAATTTGATTTGCTTTAATTTTTGTTTTTTTTTTGCTTCGATGAACATAAAATTGAAACTTTGCCTTTTTTTATTGGGTCTCTTTGAATTTGCATTTATATATAAAGAAAGCTTAAGAGCAATATTAAATACGTTCTTGGATTATAGCAAGCTTATGGCTAGAAACAGTTTTTTGATTTGTTATCAACGCAATTTATTTCTGAATATTTTAATAGTGCATAAAAACGTACATTTTTAAACGAATACATTTCTTTAAATGTTGACTTTAAATAAATGTGGAATTAGTGAAATATATTTACTTAGTTTGTTGTTTTGATGCGCAAGAGTCTTGTAAATAAATTCGTATTATTTTATTCATTTTAAATATTAATCATGAATATATATTCCCATAAGCAAGCCCTTGGTAAAACACTTTCCACAGCAGCTCTATTTAACAACTTTTGATTTTATTTTAACAACAGCTTAAGACGTGCTCTCAATTTCTATAAAACCCATCCCATTTTTATTTTTTTTGTGCTTTGAATGCTGAAAACGTGTTGGCACACACAAATTTGAAGTCAATTGATGTAATCTATTAGTAACAGATGTAAATGTCAGAAGTACTTAAGAAAGTATCTCAATTTCTACCGCTCAAAGCTTGCGGAGCAAAATGTGACATTTATTTTTATCTTTTTAGCAATTCCAATAGCTATTTTGGCTATTTTGTGGCAGCGGCGCACAACTTTCTAGACAAACTGCCTAACGCACCTGACAAACTTGCTTTAATGTATGTCAGACCTCAGCCAGCAGGAGAAGACCAAGGAGATGGAGATGTGGTGAGAGCAACAGAGAAACCACAATAAAAAGCGGCCTCTTTTCGACATTTGAGTGACATTATTTGTGTCAACAATAAAACACTCAAAAAACATGTCAGTCAGTGCGCGAGAGAGAGAGCGCTCGAGAGGGAGAGCAAGATGAAAGGCAGAGTTCGAGAAAAAGAGAGCGAGTGGAAGCAAGTGTGAGCAATAGAAGCAAGACAAACGGAACCAGAAACTGAACCAGACGTGGACAGTACAATTTAAAATTCAATAAAACTTCAATCAGCCTTTTTAAATGTGTATGTGTGTGTCTGTGTGTTTGTGTGTGTATTGATGTATGTGTGTGTGTGTGTGTGTGTGTGTGTGTGTGTGTGTGTGTGTGTGTGTGTGTGTGTGTGCGTATGTCTGGTTGTACGTGTGTACACATTGGCACGCCCAGCAACGACGAAAGCGCCCAGCAATTTAAACAAATTGAAAGCAAGCGCAAATAAAAAACAGTTTGTTGCCACTTTTCACATCAATTACGCACTTCAACCAAAACAGACGACGACGACGGCAACACCGACGGCGACGACGTTGGCAATGCCAACGAAGACGTAGAAAAACGAAGCAGCAGCCGCTGCCTCCATAAGGACGAGACGACGAGATGTCCTCGTTGGCGGCTGCTTCTAGCACAAAAATAACACTTGAAACTAAACGCGCATTCAGGCAACGACGTCGCTGGCGGCAGCGCTGTTGCTGGGCGTGCCGCACCCCACACAAAGCCAAATACCCCCGCAGCCGCTCACTGCCCTTCCCCCTTCACCATGCAAACAGTCACACCGCTCTCTACAGCTACAACAATAATTTTCGCCTGCGTACACGGCGTTTTTTATGCGCCTACTGGCAGCCCCTGGTTTCTAGCTACCTAGCTACACCCTCTCCATGCCTCCCTCACACAACCACCCGAAGGCAAAGCACACAGCCCCAAACCTTAACAATTTGAATGCGTGTGCACTGGTGTTTGTGTCTATGTGTGTGTGTGTGTGTTTGTCTAGGTTTTCGTTTGCGAAAAGCGAAAGTAAATGTTTGAAAATCGTAAGGAAGGAAAAATCAAGTAAGCATCAACGCAGGCCAAAAAAAAAAAAAGGAAAAAGCGAAAAAAGGATATTTATCTTTGGCGAAGTTTATATGCCCTTGAAGGGTGAGTCTATTAAAATGATTGAGCATTTATCGAATCCACCTTAGAAAATTTATGACTTGTTATTAACTAAAGATACGATTTTTGCATAAAAAGTACATATATCATTTAGGTTTTAGGCACTTTAAATATTTCATTTATTTTGGTTAATTATTTAAGCCTTTTGTTAGTGTAAATGATTTTGATTTGAAAATTAATTATTAAACTATCCAAGCAGTCGGTATGGTATTGAATATTCTCTGTCTTTGACTTAACTTGAAAAAGAATTAAGACAAAAATCAGTCAGAGTATTTGAAAATGTTAAAACAAATATTTTGTAAATTTTATGTGCATAAAAGATGGGACTCGAATTTTAAAAATATTATATAAGATTTCAATATGCTGATCAAAATAATTAAATTTACATTTTATATCAAATTATTGTAGTCTTGTTTAAAATGAAGAATTAAAATAGTTGCAAACACTTTTTTGATAAGGACAGAAAAAAAAATATATATATATTGATAACGATAATAAAGCACATTAACTTACAACTTTTACTATTAATAATTTTGACGATAAAAATGATTATAAGTTGCATACTTTTATTATTTATAATTATTTTAATATTTTTTTATTAGTTTGTTTTATTAATTTAATTTTTTGTAGCATATAATATTATACCAAACTTTCTATCATTTTATGTATATTATGTATGATAATATGTATATAATGTAATGATAATATATATCATTATTACCTTTGAAAAAATTAAAAGTTTAATGTTATATAAAATAACATGGACCTATTATGACGAAAAGCTTGCGTATAGTTCCCATCAACTCAAATCAAAATATAAAATTAAACAGAGTTGAACTACTTTGTTTCATTGCAATTCTATTGACACATTTGCCAACTGCACGTCAGATTCAGTGTATCCTTAAGCAGAGTATTTGGAGGAGGCGAAAACAAAAAAAAAAAACAGAAAAGAGAGATGAAAAAAATCCAACTTGGTTTTTATTGCGCGTGATAACAAGCAGGGAGTTGCACGGGAAACTGGGAATGGGAACTGGGACTCGATCTGGGTACTACTAGAGCTGGATAGAGATGGGCACCGGGTTTTCAGCTGGGCTGGCTCTGGACAGCACTGTTTGATGTTATTATAGATGACGATGATGATGGCGATGACGACAGCGTGTGTAGTCAATGATGATTTTTGCCTTTTACTTCGGATTTTGCTCTGAGTGACTCGGAGAGCTGCCAATCAGAGGCGTTGCGGCAAATGTCTTCTTGTTCTATCGCATGTTTCAGGTTGTCAAGATGGCTGGGCTTCAAGCACTAGCAGCAGCGTGTATATATATATATATATATATATATATATATATATATATATATATATATATATATATAAATATATATGCGTGTACCTGTGTGCGTGTGTGTCTGTAAGTGTGTTGCCCATTACTTTGTTGCCTAGGCATTGCTATTGACAAAAGTTTTAGGACCTAACTTGACGCTGTCTGCTTCAGCTCTTCAATCTCAAAAAGTCTGAATCTATCTACTGTCTCTCATTCAATTTTGATGAAAATTGCAATTACAACTAAAGTTAAACAATTTGCAAACAAGTATATTATAGTCGAATAAATAGAAATAAAATAAATGTTTGCTTGGGAAACTTTTGCAAAATAAAAA